CTTGTAATACAAAAAACTATTGTCTTAATGTCAGAAATCAACCGGGGAAGTTTCATATTGATATCTATTAGTTACATATGTGTACCCTATTCACCTGTAGTGTCTCCCCTTTAAGACTTCTCTTCTGCCTCTGATGCAACTCAATCTGTACCCCCAAAAAACCCATGAACAAACAACAACAAAGAAAGCAGGAACATACATGTGATCTGAAGGGGGCCACAATGAGCCACTGGTGGAATCTCCTCAGCATTAAACACAGCTGCCTCCTCGATGCCAAACAACAAAAGGAATACAATCTGCTCCAGTGAAAACGAGGCGTGATGGTTTCCCTCCTGAGATCAGGCGCTTGCGTGAGTTGGTGTCGGCATGAGAACAACAGCATCTTACTGACTCCTGCAGATCAGAGGATTACAGCCGGCTCAGTCGTCACTCACTCTCACCAAAGAAATACGGGACGCCGTTTCCAAAAGTTTGACACCACCGTCGGTGGACTATTATAATATTGTGCAATAATGAGAACACCTGTTGGCTGGTAAATGATTCAACTGTGCAATACTCACACTGCTATGGCATTATTAATGTTTTACACCACACTTCGAGCAATAATAATACAATTAGCATTGTATACTATTTGACTTTAATTGCATTTTATTTTGTTACATTTAATTATATTTTTTTAATATTCTTTTATTATATTGTACTTTTTTAATTTAACTTCATTTTTTTTGTTTGTTTTTTTAATTTAATTTTCTTTTTTATTTATTTAAATTTATTTTAATTATTTATTTTATTTTATTTATTTATTTATTTATTTATTTATTTATTATTTCTTGTTATGCAATCCAACTTCCGCTGGGCATAAATGAAGTATTCTGATTCTGATTAAACACAGTATATTCAGAAAACTTTCCAAATAAGTATTTTCTGATTCATCTAAAAATGTGTAAGTCCTTTTTCAATCAAACCCCTTGCTCTTCAATTTACTCCACACATATCTAAAAGCCTTTATTTATGCAAACCCCTAAGTGAGCAGCAGCTTGCAGATGCACGTGAGGTAATGAGAACGCTTGATATGAATTAAAATGCAATTATAGCACAATATGAATATGCATGCAGTATATTAGGTTATCTTCTCCGGGGAGTTTTAACCTGCTCTGTCAGTGTGTGTGTGTGTGTGTGTGTGTGTGTGTGTGTGTGTGTGTGTGTGTGTGTGTGTGTGTGTGTGTGTGTGTGTGTGTGTGTGTGTGTGTGTGTGTGTGTGTGAGTGAGGCAGACTGTCCCACATGACCTACTTCCTGCACTAAAGGAGAGATTAGCAGCGACGCCAAACTGCCACAGCAAGGTGAAGACAGCGAACACACGAGGTGGTCCGTCTCCTCCGTGATACCACCAGAACCAGGAGGAACAATAAGAGGAACAGACCAACGCGGGTCAGAGAACCACGTCAGAAACACAGATCTTTCTGAGAAATCTCTGCTCAGAGCGAGAGGATTCAGCAGCTGTGACGCGACAGAGGATTAAGAGAGCAACAGATGCAACTAGCTGCCTTTGGCTGCCATTGTGCTCCACAGGCGTCACACGGGAAGTTACATCACGGGGAACCGAAACACAAACTACCTCGAACACTGAGGGGAAAGAAGTGAGGATTTTAGCCTGGCTGTAATCTTTATCACTACACAATGAAATATAATCATCAGAAATCCTTTTGTGTGCTTTTAGCTGACTCTACTTTCAATTTACATTTTTCTCATCCGGGAATCATAATATAATAATACTAATACATTTTATTTATATAGCGCTTTTCACAACTCAAAGACGCTATGTAATATGTTAGTTATAATACTCCTTTTATTCATGACCCCAGGTTTTACTCTACATTGTCCCCTCGAAATCTGGAAATGACTCAAGTCACGTCCAATAAGTGAGCTGTAATATTATAGTCGACTGAGAAGTTGTGCTGGTACTTAAATTGTATAGCTAAGTAATGTTTTTAGGTTGTGATGATTTTCAGATGTGTTTCGGCCCAAAGACTGCTGATGGAAATTACCAGCTCAAATCTGTCATAAATCGTCTCTTCTCTTTTTGATATTAATGTAATTTGATGCATGGTCCTTGTTCAATACGGACATACATACAAAAACATATGATCAACGGGAACTAGCATGATTTGAGTCAAAGCCCAGAAGAACCATAGATTAGCAAAACTGTGTAAACTGTTCCTAATCTTACCCATTCAATGAAAATGTTCTAACTTTGTTGTTGCAAGAATTTCACCCTGTGTTTCCTACGGGTCAAAGTGACGTAACACTCGCGCTTCTATTGGCTAGCGCTCCAACACATTGTACGTGATAGGCTAAGGGGCGGGGCATGGTCCTGGACATAAATACAAATACAAAAGATTAACGGGAAGTAGCATGATTTGAGTCAAAGCCCAGAAGAACCAGAGAAATACTGTGTGAACTTTTCCTAATCTTCAAGGAACATTTTCTAACTTTGTTGTTGCAAGAATTTCACCAACCTTGGGTTAGCTTCTAGACACAACCCACATTTCGTGCAAAGCATCAAAAAAACTTTAGGGCGCAATAAGACCTTCCCCCCAAAGACTCACATTCAGAAAAAGACGTCTGTAAATCAGTGGATATTTTGCTTTTGGAGGTAAATCCACTTAAATCCACTCGTCTCTGATTTATGACGTATTTTTCTTCTTCTGTTTCTGTAAACGAATCTGAGACAGAGCGCTGGGAGGCGGCTCTAAATTAAAAGCTAGTGTGCTTGCTCTATTTATTCAGAAGATATTCGGATGGGACGAGTCATTTGATCAAACTGCAGTCGAGTCATTTTGGCTTCATGCGACACTGAGCAACTTCCATAGTGATGAAAGGCGTCGTACATCCTATTGTATTTCCAGATCTCTTTACAGTTCCATGTTTGAGGCTTAGAAGGCCAGCATTTTGTATGACGGAGAATCTCAACATGTTGTCGTTGTTACATAAATCATTTCTGAGAATTAATACCGTTTTTTTAAACCACTCAAAGTGCAAAGTGTGCTCACGCTATTACTATAGATACGATTTGGGAATATGCGCCATGGAGAAGCACAGAGAGAAAGCCGAGCTCTATTTACATTGATTTGATACCAAACACCTTTCTCCTAAACGTCAATGGGGAGTGACAGGAGCTAAAGGAGTGTGTGGTGATCACTGACATAACTAAGACATTTCCATCATAATGTGGTTCATGAAGACCAGACTGCGGGAAATGAATTTTCTGACGCTCAAACGTTCCTGTGGGAGGAATCATTATTTCACAAAATCAGCTCGGTTTTGCTTGCATACACTTATAAGAGGAAGTGTTGGAGACGGTCCTTTCTGCTTGACAGCCAATTAACACCGAGTTAATCACATGGAGGAGAACATGAGACGTGTTTTGAAATAATTAACGTGGGCCGTAACTTAAGAGAGGTATTCCTGGGTGTCTTGATATCATGGGGACGGTGGACATTTACTTTATAGCAAAGTGTGTTCTATAGGTTTTGTGCATATAAATGGACGTCTCTAAGCGGTTGACCAATCACACCAGAGCCGGCCAGCTAACCAATCAGAGCAGACTCGGCTCTGGTTTCAGACAGAGGGTGAAAAGAGGTGCTGCAGCACAGACAGTATGAGAAAGATAAAGAGCTTTTTGAACAATAAAGCACGGAGACATGTAGAGACACTACATACTGATATACACCTGAACATCAGCAGGAGAGGACTCTTTAAAGTAGAGACACTACATACTGATATACACCTGAACATCAGCAGAAGAGGACTCTTTAAAGAAGAGACACTACATACTGATATACACCTGAACATCAGCAGGAGAGGACTCTTTAAAGTAGAGACACTACATACTGATATACACCTGAACATCAGCAGAAGAGGACTCTTTAAAGTAGAGACACTACATACTGATATACACCTGAACATCAGCAGGAGAGGACTCTTTAAAGTAGAGACACTACATACTGATATACACCTGAACATCAGCAGGAGAGGACTCTTTAAAGTAGAGACACTACATACTGATACACACCTGAACATCAGCAGGAGAGGACTCTTTAAAGTAGAGACACTACATACTGATATACACCTGAACATCAGCAGGAGAGGACTCTTTAAAGTAGAGACACTACATACTGATATACACCTGAACATCAGCAGGAGAGGACTCTTTAAAGTAGAGACACTACATACTGATATACACCTGAACATCAGCAGGAGAGGACTCTTTAAAGTAGAGACACTACATACTGATATACACCTGATCATCAGCAGGAGAGGACTCTTTAAAGTAGAGACACTACATACTGATATACACCTGAACATCAGCAGGAGAGGACTCTTTAAAGTAGAGACACTACATACTGATATACACCTGAACATCAGCAGGAGAGGACTCTTTAAAGTAGAGACACTACATACTGATATACACCTGAACATCAGCAGGAGAGGACTCTTTAAAGTAGAGACACTACATACTGATATACACCTGAACATCAGAAGGAGAGGACTCTTTAAAGTAGAGACACTACATACTGATATACACCTGAACATCAGCAGGAGAGGACTCTTTAAAGTAGAGACACTACATACTGATATACACCTGAACATCAGCAGGAGAGGACTCTTTAAAGTAGAGACACTACATACTGATATACACCTGAACATCAGCAGAAGAGGACTCTTTAAAGTAGAGACACTACATACTGATATACACCTGAACATCAGCAGGAGAGGACTCTTTAAAGTAGAGACACTACATACTGATATACACCTGAACATCAGCAGAATATGGTCCCTTTAAAGAACTTTGAGCTGAATCTTGTGTATAAAAATTGCTATGACATTATTGCTAATCATCAAAATCTTCTTACAGGTATTTTCTCTTCCCCCCACTCACTGTTGAGCTCCACAGAGACATGAAGTGTAATGAAGGTACAGAGAGCAGCAGGGACTCACAGGGAACCGCTCGCAGGTACAGGTTCTCTCTGATGACCTGCTGGAGCTGGCTGTCCACCGAGCCGGGAGTGAAACACTTGCTCAGATACAACCTGAGATCCTTGCACAGTGAGGAGCCTGAGGGAAGGGCAAATGTACAGGAGGGGGGAGAGAGGGGGAGAGAGAGAGGGAGAGAGAGGGGGAGACATTAAGAAATCAGCTCAATAAGCACAAACACTAATGCTGTAGATCCACTGTGTGAAGCCTGTCAAATAGAGACTTAAATTAATTTAAATCTCTGCTGCTGACAGACTTGATTTAACACTTGTACAATCTAGACTTTCACGTTCACACCCACTGATCTCTCTAAATCACCTCACATACATCCTGAGAATTAAATGTGTTTTTACGGACTCTATAACAACCAGTCAGGCAGGGATTTTAGGCTATTTTGCTTCTATAACATTTCTTCTTTCAAACATTCGAAGAACATATTCAGATTCCACATATAGGAGTTTATTTTACTAAATGTGTGTCTGTAAATGTATCCTAAATCCTCCAAGTTTGCGCTCCATATGCATATTTATACATAACATTTCAGGGAACTTGTAATATAAAAAAATTACGTTTTAATGTCAGTAATGAAGTGAAGGAATGTCATAGTGATATCTGTTAGTAAAATGTTTTGACCCTATTCACCTGTAGTAGTAACAACATGTATGAATTTGACCATACAAGGCCGTTTTCTCCTCTGAAATCTCTTCAGTAGCTCTTACAAACCAAACGGTCCACTTTCATTGCCCTCTATAATCTGAAGCTTTTTACAAACTAATGGTGATTAATGGTGTGATAAAAAGAGATATCTATCTACAATCCCTGTTGTTAAAACCTGTGACCTTAATACTTCAACAAAATGAAACAAGAATGTTGAATCTGGCTTCATCCAATGTTCACATTTCTGCCCAGGAAATCTATGCAAGTTGGCACATATTTACTAAGATAATGCCTCATTTGCGTATTTAAACACAGCATTTCTATTATTTTGATATAAGTAATCAGCTGCAGAAGTTTCATGATATCTAGTAGTTATTTTTTTTCTCCCCTATCCCCCCTGTAGTGTCTTCATCACCATTGTGTCTCGACTTCCTCTCTATGACCTCTTAATATCATCTCGAGTGCTTTACGGCCTCTGATGACAGGTCACTTGCTGTTATGGATTGACTGAAAGCGGCTCCAGCTTGTCACTCTGACAGACGACCACTCTGCACACACACACACACACACACACACACACACACACACACACACACACACACACACACACACACACACACACACACACACACACACACACACACACACAGTCTGCCCACAGCGGACTGTATTCCCTATTAAGCACGTCACAGTGGATTTAACTTTATTACTGCAGGCAGTCATCTGCGCGGCCACATGTGGCATCTGCCTGTAAAGGGAAATGAATCTCGGCGGCCTTTTAGTTGCGATGATGAGCTTTTGTTCATCACGTTATGAAACAGCTGCTGGGTTCCAGTCTGATGAAGAGCTAAATTCATATCTCAGCTTCATCTCTCTGGGATGAGAGGACTACGCTGGGATTAGGCATGGGTCGAAATTGGAAAAATGTCACAAGGAAAAGATCCCAAGAAATATCGTGGTCCAAAAAACTGTGATTCAGTTATGTGCAATTCAGCATGAATATCTTATTTATAATAACACACCATTGGATATTTTGTAATACATGTTATATATTTAAGTACAACGTGCATCTGTACAGATATTTTTATTCTACGGAATTTTTGATGGATCTATTATTGGCCATTTTACTAATTTTTGTATAAATATCTTTATTCAAATTTATTTAATCTGTTAATTTTGCATTCTAACTTCTTATATTTAAATATTTTTTAAATATTTTTTTATATTTTATTCTTGTATTTTATTACGGTCTTATTCTGTTGTAGCTGGTTTTTATTCTATTCTCTTGGCTCTTTAATGTCTGTTTTTAATTGCATTCAAATGTAATTTTATAATGGTTTTCTTTTAATGTCTTTTGTAAACCACTTTGTATTGCCTTGTTGTTTAAATATGCCATTAATATAAATCAATATGTTCACACAGAACATAAATAATGAATAGCAAAACATTTGACTTAATTATTTCTCAAAAGAGGTTGATTATTCTGAGCTTTCGGACCACAAGAAAGGCATCGATCATCAAAATAAACAAGACTGAATCAACACATAACCCTCGAACGAATTGTGGATTTTCAAATGATATTGAACTAAGAATAATTGAAATGGTCACTGCTAGCTGCAATTGCTTCAATTATGTTATTGTCCTGTCATGTGCTGGATGTGTTTTGGTATTTGACCCTGTGTTAACAAGGTCCCCCTTGTAAAATAGGTATTAATCTCAATGTGACGAGCTGTTCAAATAAATATATATAGTCTACCATTAAAGCAAGGCAGTCAGATGTCAAGGTCAATAGAGTGGTGCGGGAATGAGTCGTAAAATCTCAATGTGTGTGGTTAACACAAGCTGAAGAAATGTTTATGTTTTGTTCTACGACATAGATTACGTCAGTAAATACCCAACTGGTGAATTTAAAAACGGCGGTTGCTAACAAGTGTCTAACTTAGACGACTAAATGTCATCACGCCCAAGATTAGCTGCCTTTAGCTTAGCGGTGGTGACGTGAAGTCATGTGACCGTGCAGTAGTTCCTTTATAGCCCAACATTAGCCGCCTTTAGCTTTGCGGTGGTGACGTGAAGTCATGTGACCGTGCTGTAGTTCTTTTATAGCCCAACATTAGCCACCTTTAGTTTAGCGGTGGTGACGTGAAGTCATGTGACCGTGCTGTAGTTCCTTTATAGCCCAAGATTAGCCGCCTTTAGCTTAGCGGTGGTGACGTGAAGTCATGTGACCGTGCTGTAGTTCCTTTATAGCCCAACATTAGCCGCCTTTAGCTTAGCGGTGGAGACGTGAAGTCATGTGACCGTGCTGTAGTTCCTTTATAGCCCAACATTAGCCGCCTTTAGCTTAGCGGTGGTGACAAGAAGTCATGTGACCGTGCTGTAGTTCCTTTATAGCCCAACATTAGCCACCTTTAGCTTAGCGGTGGTAATGTGAAGTCATGTGAACGTGCTGTAGTTCCTTTATAGCCCAACATTAGCCACCTTTAGCTTAGCGGTGGTGACGTGAAGACATGTGACCGTGCTGTAGTTCCTTTATAGCCCAACATTAGCCGCCTTTAGCTTAGCGGTGTTGACGTGAAGTCATGTGACCGTGCTGTAGTTCCTTTATAGCCCAACATTAGCCACCTTTAGCTTAGCGGTGGTGACGTGAAGTCATGTGACCGTGCTGTAGTTCCTTTATAGCCCAAGATTAGCCGCCTTTAGCTTAGCGGTGGTGACGTGAAGTCATGTGACCGTGCTGTAGTTCCTTTATAGCCCAACATTAGCCGCCTTTAGCTTAGCGGTGGAGACGTGAAGTCATGTGACCGTGCTGTAGTTCCTTTATAGCCCAACATTAGCCACCTTTAGCTTAGCGGTGGTGACGTGAAGTAATGTGACCGTGCTGTAGTTCCTTTATAGCCCAACATTAGCCGCCTTTAGCTTAGCGGTGGTGACAAGAAGTCATGTGACCGTGCTGTAGTTCCTTTATAGCCCAACATTAGCCACCTTTAGCTTAGCGGTGGTAATGTGAAGTCATGTGAACGTGCTGTAGTTCCTTTATAGCCCAACATTAGCCGCCTTTAGCTTAGCGGTGGTGACGTGAAGACATGTGACCGTGCTGTAGTTCCTTTATAGCCCAACATTAGCCGCCTTTAGCTTAGCGGTGTTGACGTGAAGTCATGTGACCGTGCTGTAGTTCCTTTATAGCCCAACATTAGCCACCTTTAGCTTAGCGGTGGTGACGTGAAGTCATGTGACCGTGCTGTAGTTCCTTTATAGCCCAACATTAGCCACCTTAGCTTAGCGGTGTTGACGTTGAAGTCATGTGACCGTGCTGTAGTTCCTTTATAGCCCAACATTAGCCACCTTTAGCTTAGCGGTGGTGACGTGAAGTAATGTGACCGTGCTGTAGTTCCTTTATAGCCCAACATTAGCCTCCTTTAGCTTAGCGGTGGTGACGTGAAGTCATGTGACCGTGCTGTAGTTCCTTTATAGCCCAACATTAGCCACCTTTAGCTTAGCGGTGGTGACGTGAAGTCATGTGACCGTGCTGTAGTTCCTTTATAGCCCAACATTAGCCGCCTTTAGCTTAGCGGTGGTGACGTGAAGTCATGTGACCGTGCTGTAGTTCCTTTATAGCCTAATGTTAGCTATTTCTTTCTGGAGATTGCATTTACGCTTCAAAAATCATAAAGTGGTGTTAACATGTGGAGATCATCCTGCTGAAGACATGTGCAAGTATCATAAACGTTTGTTTACCAGAGAGATTATTTTCTGCAATAATCTTATTGGCTTTTTGTCAAGGGAACGAGGGTAGTGCTAATTCCGGGTGGCCAAGAAAAAAGAGGTAATCCCTGCGCGCTCTATAGCAACACACTGAAGGAAAGTGTATTTACGCTAAAACCTTTAAACTGCTGGCTGCCTGTGGGGAGAGTAGCCTGGTGTCCTGTGCTTGAGAGGATGGAGCAGCAGGAGTAGGAGGAGGTGTGATACAGCAACGCAGTGCATCAGATCATCCATCACTGTCCACACTACCTGCAGCCTGGGGGGGTATATATATATATGATAATAGATTCAGCAGCAGTGGAGGGACTGGGAGCAAAGGTCTACATTTACACCTCCGCGGCGAAATCAGCTATCAATCTGGCAAGCAAGGCCATTGGGAGTGGCGATCAGGTGACACCCGGCTGACATATTGCTCTGTTCGGAGCCAACAAACACATCCGTTAGCCCCCCCACCCCCCTCGTACTAAACATCAAGGCCTCTGGCGGGTGACAGACATCTGTATCGCCACACTCTTGTCATGTGTCATCAGAAATCCTGACCTCCTACAAACATATCGACCCGTCGCCTTGACTCATGCACACTAATTGACGAGTGCAAATCAGCATCAGAATACACACAGGCTGCAGGGAATATTACTTCCTCACCACTTCATAGTGTCACTGCAGCGCTGCCTCCTTTGAGTTGTGTTGGTCTGTAATAGTGCTGCAGGAATGAGTCCTAAAACCAGGAAATGAGTTAGCATTTCAGCACCGGATGCATGAATTGGTTTCTTGACGGATGTTTTGGTTTAACTTTTTAATGTTTTACCTGTTGTTCACCATCTATTATCTATCATGTTTACGCTGCTATGGACAATCTTGCACTATGTACATTCAATAACATCTGAAGTGACTGTTATTTTGTTATTTTGTATATATTGATTGATATACACCTGAACATCAGCAGGAGAGGACTCTTTAAAGTAGAGACACTACATACTGATATACACCTGAACATCAGCAGGAGAGGACTCTTTAAAGTAGAGACACTACATACTGATATACACCTGAACATCAGCAGGAGAGGACTCTTTAAAGTAGAGACACTACATACTGATATACACCTGAACATCAGCAGGAGAGGACTCTTTAAAGTAGAGACACTACAGACTGATATACACCTGAACATCAGCAGGAGAGGACTCTTTAAAGTAGAGACACTACAGACTGATATACACCTGAACATCAGCAGGAGAGGACTCTTTAAAGTAGAGACACTACAGACTGATATACACCTGAACATCAGCAGGAGAGGACTCTTTAAAGTAGAGACACTACAGACTGATATACACCTGAACATCAGCAGGAGAGGACTCTTTAAAGTAGAGACACTACATACTGATATACACCTGAACATCAGCAGGAGAGGACTCTTTAAAGTAGAGACACTACTTACTGATATACACCTGAACATCAGCAGGAGAGGACTCTTTAAAGTAGAGACACTACATACTGATATACACCTGAACATCAGCAAGAGAGGACTCTTTAACTAAACATACTAATGGCGCATTTCCACTGCAACGGGGTAGCCCCGTTTAAGCGTCCCTAAGCGTCCTCGCTCTGGCCTCGGGCTGCCTCGCTGGCCGTCCGAGGCCGTGGCGCATATTCATTACGGCCCCTACACACGGCGGCGTGCGTTGCCGCTTCAACGCTTCTGCCCATTCACTTTGAATGGGGTGACGTCACGATTCGCCGAACTGCATTGTGGGAGCAAAGCGTAGCTTCTCTCGCGGTGCTCGCTGCAAAATTAGAGCAATGTTCGACTTTTGCCGCCTCGACGGAGGCGTCAGCCAATCAAATCCCGCGTATGCAAATCTGACAGCACAAGCGCTAGCCAATCAAACCGCGTGTATGTTGGGAGAGCCAGACCGCAGTTATTTCCCATATGTCAAAAAATGGAGGAGGAAATTATCGTGGCGTTAGGGAATCACCCGGTACTATATGACCAGTCCCTCTTTACATACAGGGATACAAACCGGAGGAGCCAGGCATGGGGGGAGGTGGCAGAGACAGTGGGTGAAACTGGTAGGTTTTCGCCTGTTTGGGGAGTTTATATCCAGTGTACTTCGTTTGAATGGACAGCTAGCAAGCATAGACAGTATATTTAGCCAGCATGGATGTAGCATGAATGCTTTGCTTTGTATGTCCGGGGCGGGACATTCATGTGATTGGTTGTTGGTCGCGTTGTTCGTAAAAAATCCCCAAGCTTCAGACACGCCCACCGCCAAGCGGTAACGCACGCCGCGTGTAGGGGCCGTTACAGTTTAGGACCTGGGGTAGCAACGCAGTGTAGGCGGGGCGATCGGCTTTGTTTTTGTTCACATTTCGAGTTGTTCCGTCGAGCTCCCGCTGGATTTGATCATCCCCAATGAGATGTAGGAACGTCGTCACCTCCTCGGTCGACCACGGTGTGCTTTTCTTATTAGAAGTAGCCATTTTTGTAGCTCATCCGTTTACAAAATGCTGTTTATAAAAATGCTGCAAGCTTGCTTCAAAATATATATGCTAGGGATGAACTCGCGCGCGATCTTGTGACGATTCTCTCTGACCAATCAGCAGTCGAGAGCGTTGACGTCACTAGTTCAGCCCTGGCCCTGGTCTGATAGAACCACGATTTTATGGGGCCGGAAAAAGAGGGAAAAAGTACCCGCTAGCCGGTACTAGGCTATATGGAAAGGCCACCAAAAACTGGCCTGGCCGTTTGAGGACGGTTAAGGACGCTTAAACGGGGCTACCCGCTGCAGTGGAAATGCACCATTAGTTGCTTTCCTGCACTGAGTAAAGGATGCAAGTGATTCCTAATACCTGGAGCGGTGGTCTTGATCCTGATTGGATGAGGGCAGGAGTTTAGGACCCCACGGACGTCTCCTAAAGTCATCCCCAACACCGGCGTGCCCCCGATCTCCAGGATGACGTCTCCCACCGTGAGTCCTCCACCGGGCGCCAAGGTGACGAACGGGAACTCTCCGTAGTCTGCCCCTCCCCCGATGGAGACCCCCAGCTCCCCCGAGGACCCCAGCAGGGGCACGAAGCTGTCCAGCACCTTGGAGCGCCAGTGCAGCTTCTTCCCCGCCGTCTTAGACATGGCGAAGGAGCTGCGTGGGGAAATCAAACAAGAAGGAGCACAAGGTGTGAGACAGGAAGGTGTTGATTACAGAACAGGTGACACACTGGGTTTGAGATCCCCTTTGCACTCGCTTCCTGTCCGTCAGAGACTTTAAGATTCAAGGCTTTTATTGTCATTTGTGCATAGCTACAGTGTAGTTATGACAATGGACATCTTAGGTCACAGGCTCCTCCAACAGTGCAACACAATAAAACAGATAAAATAGTGTAAGTAAATAAAATAAAATATAATATAATAGAAAGTGCAGAAGTCTATAATAGTAATAGTAATTGGAATATTGATATGAGTTGCAAACAGATGGATGTTATGGATGTTCTTTCAAATGTTCAGGTGTTTAACAGTCTTATGGCTTGTGGGATGAAACTGTCCCTGAGTCTAAAATACTACTGATGGTGTTTAGAGACAAAATACATTTCTGATGTTCTGCAACTATCCTACTATCCTGTCCCAAGAGTTCAAACGAAACATGGACGGTAAATAAGCAAACTAAAAGCACCTGTTCTTGCATCAGCTTTGTAACAACATATTATGTAATTGCAATGATATATATTTGATATGTTAACACATGTTATCTCCATTGAGAAACCCCTGTTAGCTGTAAAGTATATTGCTTACCATGAAGATACGGGGGAAAAAAGAATCATGCAAGTACATTTAAACATGCCAAATAATGCAATTACTTGCCGTGTAATTGCATTGCTTGCAATTCATACTTTGAAATCAGGGCTGGGAATGTTTCTGTTGCCTTTTACTATACTTGTATTTTCAACCTGTCTTATTGAAGTTCATCAGGTTTCTAGTATTGTTTAATAATTCTCTTGGTTTTCTAATGGGTGTAATTGCAATGTCGTTTTTAAAGGTGTTTTTTTGGGGAGATTGAATTCTAATATTAGTCTATAGTCAGATAACATAATAATCTGTCTTCACTATAGGAAATATAACGAGTGAATTGAATCACATGTTTTACTTAAATATGTGGTGTAATGTGTTTTGGGACCATAACATAAAGTAACAACAGGATTGTACGGTTATGAATGCATAATAAGTTAGTTATGATGTAGTTAAAACAATATTGGATGATAGTCATTCTTTTTTTGTGTTTTGGACTGAAATAAATCATGGGTCAAAACTGACCCGCGAACACCATGAACGGTAACAGCTTTCCAACACAACACAAGGGTTAATGCTTTTAATATTTGTTATAATGCACTTTGAATGGCCTTACTGCTGAAAAATGAAACAAACTTAAAGCTTATTTAGAGTTATTTAAATTGTATTCTGCATAGACTATACCTGTACTCAGCATTTCTCCTGTTAACTGATCTATGTTTGGAAAAGTCAATGAATACATTGTAAAAACAAAAACAAATTAATGACATAACAAGAAGGAAGGTAGAACCCCTTGAAGGTTGTTCTGTTATTTAACCTTTATCAGTTGTCAATGTCTGAAGTCTGTGGAGCTGCAGGGTTCACAATTGGCTAGAAGTCATAAATAATTCCACATAATGGATGTTTACTCTGGCAGCTTTAAAAGTCAGCAACAACACATCACATGGGAACCGTTTAATTCTGTGTTGTGTGCAAACACGCAGCGGCACAGAACATGACTCTCCAACCAAGATGAATAAATTCCCTCATGCCTCGGCGCTCGCTGCACACTGACGCTGTGTTTTCGTAAACTGCCATGCACACACATTTCAGAATATTACATACATATTTTCAACGCTTGAATATTTTTTAAGCGTAAATCCAATCTCCAGAAGTTAAAAGCTAACGTTACGCTATAAGGAACTAGCACGGTCACATGACTTCACGTCACCGCTACGCTAAAGGCGGCTAATGTTGGTCGTTGTTTAGACACCAACTAGTGTATAGACAGATCAAAGCACAGAACAAGATACTTAAATACAACATCCAATGAAATTACTAACAATATTACATTACATTACATTTAGCTGACGCTTTTATCCAAAGCGACTTACAATAAGTACATTCGACCAGGAAGACACAACCTTGAAGAAAACAGAATCATATAAGTACATCAGGTTTCATAGAGCCAAACATTTCAAGTGCTACTCAACTGGCTTTAGATAAGCCAGTCCTTTATTAGTATATAAGTGCTTTGTTAATAGTTCTATCGCTCGAAGTGGAGTCGATCAATATCAATTATAACATTTTTGAATCACCGTCAAATGAATGTTGGCAAGACCAATTGCTCCTCATCTATGTATTTTGGGTCATGGGAAAAGGAGTCAAAGTCAGTGCATTAGAAAATATGCTGATACAAGAAAAACTTAAATACAGTAACGAAGTATTTGTACTTCACTACTTCCACCTCTGGGCCTAATAAAGCTGCTTCAAAGAGGGACAGACAGACAGGATATAACTCATCATTTGCAGCAGACTGGCACATCTGACAGGGATCCTCTTTACTGCTCAGCCAAAAAGAAGGGGTCCCTAATGGCTTTTTATAAACAGAGAGGGATAAATGAGGAAGAGGAAGGCAGGGAGTGGAGGGAGATTAGAGGATGAAACACAGAAATAGACTGTAACTAAATACAGATGGATTGTATGTGTTTTTGTCCCACACTCTGAGAGAAAAAGAGGGAGGAGGTCGGGTGCAGATGGAGAGGCGCCACACAGCCTGAGGTCGGCACAGGACTCACGACTTTGACCTTCAGCTCGGGCCATGAGTCAGAGTTTCACCGAGAATCCAAATAAACACAACTTCTATTTCAGTCTCGGGTAAAAACCAAGGGAAAGTCACTGTTGTTTTCACGTTGAATGAAACACAAACAACGGGATTTGGGAGTAGCGGAAAATATGAAATGGGATTACGTAATTAGGATACAAAAATGGGATTTCCTTACAGTTACAGAAAAAAGAAAATAAGTAATCAGATTGCAGGTATGTTCAAAGAAAATGGGGATTACAATGTACAATAGATTTTAAAATAGTGTGGTGCAGGAATGAGTGCTAAAACCCAGAAATTAGTCTGGTTTTTACCACTTCCTGTTCCCTTCCCGGTGTTTTTTCTGCATGTGTTTTTGGTTGTTAGCCTGAAATAAGGTCTGAGGTTAACACAAGCTAAAGAGATCCTAATGCTTTGTTCTATGACAACAAATACGTCAGTAAATACCCCACTGGTGGATTTAAAAACAGCGGTTGCTAACAAGTGTCTAAATGAGACGACAAACATCATCATATCTACATGTAGTTCCTTTATAGCTCAACATTAGCCGCCTTTAGCTTAGCGGTGGTGACGTGGAGTCATGTGACCGTGCTGTACTTCCTTTATAGCCCAACACTAGCCGCCTTTAGCTTAGCGGTGGTGACGTGAAGACATGTGACCGTGCTGTACTTCCTTTATAGCCCAACATTAGCCGCCTTTAGCTTAGCGGTGGTGACGTGGAGTCATGTGACCGTGCTGTAGTTCCTTTATAGCCCAACATTAGCCGCCTTTAGCTTAGCGGTGGTGACGTGGAGTCATGTGACCGTGCTGTACTTCCTTTATAGCCCAACATTAGCCGCCTTTAGCTTAGCGGTGGTGACGTGGAGTCATGTGACCGTGCTGTACTTCCTTTATAGCCCAACATTAGCCGCCTTTAGCTTAGCGGTGGTGACGTGGAGTCATGTGACCGTGCTGTACTTCCTTTATAGCCCAACATTAGCCGCCTTTAGCTTTAGCTGCTGAACAAAACGTGTAAGTATCATAAATGTTTGTTTGCCACAGAGATAATTTCCTGCCATATCTTGAAATCCAATGGAGAAATCACATTGACTTTTTGTCAAGCGAACCAGGAAGATGCTAACATCTGGGTCTGCCAGCAAAAATACTTCATCCCTGCTCTATAAAGAATGTTCTGATGTCTCAGGTAAAACCATAGATATTCTCCCAGTTCATCATCATGGCAAAGCCATGTTGGATAAACTACCTTCTTACATCTGCTCTCTGCTCTCTCGACGAATTGAAAGTAGCTATTGCCTGAGATCTCATGATGTGGTTTTATTAAATGTGCCAAGTGCTAGGACTGACTTAGGGAAAAAAGCTTTTAGATGCGCAGCTCCACTAACTTGGAACAGTCTGCAAAAGGAATGGAAACTGAGCAATTTGGTTCCACTAAATGTTTTTAAAGCACGGATAGACGCTATCCAATCGGAAACTGTTGGAACCTGTAAATGTCACTAGCTATGTAAACTGTAGTCGCTGTAAATATGCTGTATGATGTCCTTTTTGTTTTTCTGTTGTTTTCTGTTTTATATGTCTTCATGTGGAACCTACTTGCAGCAGATCAATGATCTCAATGGGATTCACCTGCTTAAATAAAGGTTTTAAATTCAATTAAATGAAATGGCCTCTGGTTCAAATAATGCTTTCACTGGGTGGAAATGTCTGTATGAAACAATATTAGTGTTTAATGCATACTGTGCTTTCCAGTTGTTTATATACTGTCACTATCCAAGGAGTCCACATCCAATTTAAAGGATCATTAACAGGTAAATGTTCGTTAATACTCATCTGTAATCCAGTACTTGAAATAGGTGTACTGCCTGAGTTTGGAGGACCCATTGGTTAATAATGAAAATAGTATGAGTGATCTTAATCTTCTGTATTAATTAAACTAAAACAGATAAGTAGTAAGACTACAACAAGTAGAGCCAGTGTATTTCCACCTGAAATTATGTGTATCACTTCACCCTTGCCAAACAACGCCCCCAACCACCCCCCCCAGCCCCCCCCCCCTCTGTGAAGCCTTCTGCAGCCTCACGGTCCACCTGCAGCAGTACAGCCTGCATGTGTGTCACGAGAATCACAAGCATCTTTCTCCATCCAATCTCACACAACAAACTCCCACGTGCATCCATCCATCCTGAACAACAGATTTATAAGCCATCTTTAAGTCTCTTCATGCTTTATCTAAACATTTCTCAGAATGATTAAAAGGCTAAAAATAAAACTCTGTCGGG